GGTGTTGGCGGCCGTCTGGGGAGCCAACTCTCCCCTCTCTCTCTCCCTCTCTGTCTTGCACACTTTCCCTCTCTCTTTTCTCTCTCCCACACACTCACCCCAGACCTCCACACTCTGTCTTTGAAGAGAGAGAATTAATTGGAGATAATTAGAGTTAATGAACAAGCTTTACAAATGGTACTAAAGGGGTTTTCCTGACCCCCCTCTTGTCACCCCCTACCTACCATCCCCCCTTAATCATTACCACTCATCTCTCTCCCCCTCCATCACCACTAATTCCCCCTTTTCCCCTCACCCCCTCTTCTCTAACCTCCCCTCTCCCATATCTCCCCCCACAACCCCCTTACCTCACCCCTTCACACCACTAATTTCTCACCTCTCTACCTCACCTCTCCACCCACCCCCTCCCACCTCTCCCACCCATCCCTCTGCCTCTCACCCACCCCCTCACCTCCTCACCCACCCCTCACCTCTCACCCCACCCCCTCACCCCACATCCCCTCACCTCTCCCCTCAGATCACAACATTCGTCCGCTATTGATTTCCGTAGACCTAACTTACCTAGGTCTAAGACGGCCCCCCACCTGTACCTGTGTGTGTACCTGTATGCGTACCTGTGTCTGTATGTGTACCTGTGTGTCTGTATGTGTACCTGTACCTGCGTGTCTGTATGTGTACCTGTATCTGTACGTGTACCTGTGTCTGTATGTGTACCTGTGTCTGTATGTGTACCTGTATTTGTGTGTGTACCTGTGTCTGTATGTGTACCTGTATCTGTGTGTGTGCCTGTATCTGTGTGTGTATATGTACAGTATGTGTGCATGTATGTGTGCATATATGTGTATGTATATATGTGTGTACGTGTATATTTGTGTGTAAATATATATGTACGTATGTATATGTGTTTGTGTGCATGAGGAGCTTCTGTATACATGTGTAGGCACAGTAAATCATTTACAGGGGGCAGTAATTTACAGGAGTACAGTGCAAATTATACGTAAATACAGCAATTTACAGCTATATGAAACAGCATACTGTACTGTCTATCTCACTACATACATACATACATATATGTACGTATGTATGTATGTGTGTATGTATGTACGTATGTATGTATGTATGTATGTATGTATCCATCCACCACACTTCACATGTCCCTGGACCATAAGCAAACAGCGTGGGGGAGGGAGGGGGGAGAGGGGAGGGGAGGGGGAGAGAGGAGTGGAAGGATCTTGGTGAGGTGTGAAATTATCTTCGTTTTAACATCAATATATTCATCTCTGCAGTGCCTAACCTAGCCAACCCTAGCAACCTAACCAGCCTAACCCTTAGCCCCTGATGGTGGTGAGGTGGTGGAATAATTTAATTGGGGAGGGCAGTTTGGGGAGGTGGAAGGGGTGTGGAGTGCAGAAGGGAGGGAGGAGGGAGGAGAGAAGAGAGAGAGAGAGGGAGGGAGGAGGGGAGAGAGAGAGAGAGAACATGACCATCAGCTGTCAGGGCGTCAAGAGTCAGGTTAAGCAAGGTCAAATAGTGGCGTCAACACACACACGCCAGTGAGTGTGTGTTGTGGTGCTTTCTAAGACATAATGAACTGATCACAGAGAGAACAAGATCCAGAAGAGAGAGAGAGAGAGAGAGAGAGAGAGAGAGAGAGAAGGGTGTATTCTGATGCCCCTGAATAAAATGACCTTGAGAGAGAAAACCATCGTTATATCTAGCTACAAATACACCCTCACTACACCCAACCCCTTGTGCTTGATACTACACACAACACCCACTCAGTGTATTGAGAACATTAGTCACGTCTGCACTCTCTACACCCAACCAGAATACACTCATTATCATTCCTTATATAATTTACATACACACTACACCTTAGTTTTACACCATATTATAACTTACACCCACAGTACACCCAATACACACAGTGCACTTACAGCCACACCAATACACGCACAATACACTCAGTACACAGCTTCACAACACACACACACACAAACACACACACACACAGTCTTCAACCACACAATCTACATGTTTATTTATTCTTGCTGGAGGGAGGGGGTGAGAGGAGGGGGGTGAGAGGAGGCGGGGTGAGAGGAGAAAGACTAAGGAACAAGGCTGAAGGCAGGGGGGTGAAGGAGGGAGGTGAAGGAAGGGAGATGGAGAGGGTGAAGGGAAGGGTGGGGGGAAGGATGAGAGGGGGAAGGAAGAAAGCGGAAGAAGTTTGGGGAGAGGAGGAAGTGAGGGAACATAGGCAGGGGAGGGGTTGGGGAGGTTCTTGTCACCCCTCTCTCTCCCTCTCTCTCTTATCTCTCCCCCCAACCCCCCTTCTTACAGTAGTTCGTTTTACTGTTCTCACTTACCATCCTCTCTCTTTCTCTCTCTTTTACTCACCATGATCTCTCTCTCTCTCTCTCTCTCTCTACCATCTCTGTTCGTCTCTCTCTCTCTCTCATCGCTTCAGCTTTCACTAGTCAGCTCCTAAAATGAACTCATTCAAGTACATGTCATCCGAGGTCAAAGGTCAATGTGTGTGTGTGTGTGTGTGTGTGTGTGTGTGTGTGTGAGAGAGAGAGAGAGACACTAACGATATATATTATTCAAGTGTCGGACAAAACCTGAGAATCGAGGATGTGTGTGTGTCTGTGTGTGTAGATGCTTACGTTTATGGGCATGTGTGTGAGCTAGGTTAATGTGTACATGCGTGTGTGTGTGTGTTAGGTCAGTGTGCACATGTATGTGAGTATGTGTACGTGTGTGTGTTTATGAAGATCATTAAGAAGTGACCTCCCACTGAGATAAGGGGGGAGGGAGGAGGCACGAGGTCAAGGAAGAGGTCGGGTCAGGTCACAGGGTCAACACCTGCCTGATAATCCTCTAACACTATATTTACTGGTGATAGTGGTAATTGTGGTAGTAATTGGTGTAGGAGTGTTAGTAGTGGTGGTAGTGGAAGGGGGTGGTGGTGGTAGTAGTAGTAGTGGTGGTGGTTGTAGTAGTTGTTGTAGTAATAATAGTGGTAGTGGTGGTAGTAAAAGTAGTTGTAGTGGAGTAACATTATAGTTTTTAGTCAATTGCATACAGCACAGACACACACACACGACACTCCTCCCACACGACACCTCCCCCCCACACACACGAGAAGATATACACAGCATTACCCATAAAAACCACCAACAATCACCACAATAATAACTACAATAACGTAAATTACACACAGGAAGAAAATCTCTCTTCCTCCTCAGCAAAAAAATCCCAATTATGGTAACGAATCGCAGTTATTTATGAAAGAAAAAAAAGCGCGCGCATTTTCTCCCACCAAACAGATGAGGCTCCGCTATTGGTCACCATCTGTCGTATTTGACCAATAGAAAAAAGAGTAGCTAAAGCGCGGGTAATTTTTTCTTCTTGGGCCCTTCTGAATAAATGAGACTCGGCTATTGGTTGCCATCAGATGTGGTTTGACCAATAGGAATCGAGGGAAAAAATATCACCCGAAGGCTTCCACACCTCTGATCTATGTGGTCTAAGTAGCGTTATATTATCCTGGGGAAAAAAACGAGGGAATAACACGACATCTGGAGAAAAAAATAACACGAGATGGTAATACTAGGAAAAAAATAATACTGTATCGGGTGAAGAGTTGCCGTATACCACCAGATAATAACACTGACAATAATAATGGTAATAATAATAATGAAAGGTTATTATCACCTCTTCTTCTTCCATCTTCTCTCCTTCCTCCCTCTTGTCTTATTCCTCTCCTTCCATCTTTCTCTCCCTTTTTCCCGTCTCTACTTCCCTCCTTCATTCTCTTCTACTTCCCTCCTTCATTCGCCTCTACTTCCCTACTTCATTCTCCTCTACTTCCCTCCTTCATTCTCCTCTACTTCCCTCCTTCATTCGCCTCTACTTCCCTCCCTCCTTCTCCTCTACTTCCCTCCTTCATTCTCCTCTCCTTCACTCTTCTGTACTTCCCTCCCTCCTTCTCCTCTACTTCCCTCCTTCATTCTCCTCTCCTTCACTCTTCTGTACTTCCCTCCCTCCTTCTCCTCTACTTCCCTCCTTCATTCTCCTCTCCTTCCCTCCTTCCTCCTTCTCTGTGTCCTAAGGAAGTGTTGTTTATTTGTTTACCTCTCCCTCAGTGCTGCCACCTGGCGGGAGGAACCGATGATAAACACGAAACAAGGGAAAGGAGGGGGTGGGGGGGGGTGTAAATGCCCCCTTCCCTTTCTTTACTCCCTTAAACCACCCCTCCCTTTCTCCATGTTCCCCCCCTTACTAACATGAAACGAGAGAGAGAGAGAGAGAGAGAGAGAGACTTAATTTCAACAAAACAGAGATGACGGATGATAGATAGTGTGTGTGTGTGTGAGAGAGAGTGTGTGTGTGTGTGTGTGTGTGAGGGAGTGTGTGTGTGTGTGTAAGAAAGAAAGAGACCATCCATCAGAGCCTCTCTCCTAGACGCCCCTCTTAAGTGAAATCTGATATTCCTTTATAAACACACACACACACACAGCAACAAACATACATGATCTCAAGCAAGACAAACGCACACAAACACACACGTTCTCAAACACCAAAACACACACACACGATCCAAACAAAAACCAATAAAAAACAACACGATCTCAAACACACAACAAACACAATAATACAAAGACAAACAAACACTCAAACACACAACAAACACATCATAATTGTCATGGAATTAATATTATTGTTATTTTTGTTGTTCTTATTACTACTCTGAAGGGAAGACAATTGAGACAGACAGATACTCACTATTCCAAACAAATTATTTTAAACCAATCCTCTTCTATATTAACTACTAACAACAGTACCATTACATTACGGTTGTTAGATATAGATAATAACATAGGTCTCGTTCGTGGTAGTAGGCTGTAACATTAGCCATCTTGTTTGTTTACATGCAGACAGACACGCCCAGAAAATATATATTATTTTTTTTTTTTTAACACTGAAAAATATCTTACCTTAATGCGTAAGACTAGATAAATCCTATAAAATTATCGACTCAGCTTCCACCAGAGAGGCAATCACCACATGACGCCTTAGTTCGTTTCGTAGTCGAGAATAGGGAGAAATTAGTAACAAATTCACTGTTGCCAGGTTGGGAGCGCGAGCGTCAACCTCCTCCCTCTCTGGCTGACAACTTACTACTGAGGTCCATGCGCGCGCTGCCGGGGTTTTCTTACACGAGGGAACAGATCTTACCCCCACAACACAACGCCGTGCCAGACGTATGACCCAACACGCAATTTTCATTTCTGATGTGGATAGATAGAAGGATAGATAGATAGATAGAAGGATAGATAGATAGATAGAAGGATAGATAGATAGATAGATAGAAGGATAGATAGATAGATAGGTGGATAGATAGATAGATAGAAGGATAGATAGATAGATAGGTGGATAGATAGATGGATAGGTGGATAGATAGATAGATAGATGCTTTGTATTATTCTCCTTAGTTCAGCATCCATATTGAGAGTGTAGATGGATGGATGGATGGATGGATGGATGACACCCTCCTTCACTCCACCTCTCCCCTTATCCTTGCAATTTCCACCTACTCCACCAAGACTGACCACGCCCTCTCACCTTCCACACACACACACTCCTCAACACACACACATACACACACACACACACACACACCTCTACACATTTACACACACTCAACACACACACACACACACACATACACACACACACACACACACACACTCCTCAACACACACACACACATACACACACACACATACATACACACACACACACACCCTCAACAACACACATAAGCACTCCGCAACACACACATACACACACACACACACACACACTCCGCAACACACACACACACACCTCAACACACACACACACACACACACACTCCGCAACACACACACACACACACACTCAACATGACACGTGTGGCCTAGGAACCAATCAGCCTCCATTGTGCAGCTGTTCTGGCTTGCAGCATCTACCTCAGTACCTTACCTACCTCAGTACCTCACCTACCTCAGTGCCTCACCTACCTCAGTACCTCACCTACCTCAGTACCTCACCTCACCTCAGCACCACCCACCTCACCTCAACACCCACCTCAGCACCTCAATCTCACCTCTACTCCCCAGCACCACCCCACCCCACCCCACACCCTCACCCCACTCTACTCCTCAGCACCCCCACCCACCCTCAGCACCCCACCCCACCCACCTCAGCACCCCACCCACCCAGCACCTCACCCCACTTTGACCCCAGCACCTCACCCCCACCCACCCCAGTACCTCACCCCACCCACCCCAGCACCCCCACCCACCCCAGCACCTCACCCCACCCACCAGCACCCCACCCACCCCCAGCACCCTCACCCACCTCAGCACCTCACCCACCTCAGCACCACCTCACCCACTCCAGTACCTCACCCCACCCACCCCCAGCACACCTCACCCACCTCAGCACCTCACACCACCCACTCCTCAGCACTCCTCACCCATCTACCCCAGCACCTCCTTTACCTCATAATTCTTCCCACCTCACCTGGCCCCTCAGTACCTCCACCTCAGTACCTCACCTCACCTACCTCAGTACCTCACCTCACCTACCTCAGTACCTCACCTTACCTACCTCAGTACCTCACCTTACCTACCTCAGTACCTCACCTCACCTACCTCAGTACCTCACCTACCTCAGTACCTTACCTAATCCCTTCTACCTAATCATCTTCCTATTCCTCTCCTCCTAATCACCTCTCCCTAATCACCTGGTCCAATCACCTGGTCCAATCAGCCAATACCGCTGAGAAAGTGAAGCTGTGGATTAAGAATTTGCTGACGACATACTGACAGACGCAGCTGTTTGATAAGGTGGTTTACGGTCTGTTTGTTGGTTTATCTGTCTGTTTGCCTGTCTATCTGTTTAACTGTCTATTTAAATATTTGTGTGGCCGTCTGTCTATCTATCCACACACACCAGGAAGCACCCAATAACACTTAAAATTTTGATTAAAGTAAAAAAAAAATATCCACTAACTTGATTGTAAATATGCAAATGAAGTCCTGTACGATAATTTGGGAAAGAGTAACGACAGTTTATGAGATGAAATAAACAATATGGCGTCTACAACAACTGATTGGACCATATGTCGTGAATTACCTTGAGTTGAGAGGTGGTTTTGCTGGTTCATTTGTCTGTCAGTGTATAAAAAGTTGCCTGGCAGGAGCGTGTTATCAGCTACCCGCATGTCTTGCTAGCCATCTGCCTCTTAGACGTCATCATTATCCCTCTTGGTGATTGGTTGCTGCACGCCGGCTGCTCTGTGACGTCATTGTTATTCTCTATAGTGATTGGTTAAACCCGCACGACAACACCATGTGCACGCTGCCGCTGGGACCTTCAAATTGCCAACCTGGAGAGTAATTTATTTATTTTCTATAATTTTTTTTTAATATTTTTTTAATATTTTTTTTTTACAAGAGTTACAGTTCATAGTAGTGATGATAAACAACTGTAATTATTGTACGTCTCTGTATCGTTATATTACTGATTGATGTAAAATGGTTAATATATTTACAGTAGAATAAATATGAAACAATTGGAAACTTGAGATATAAACATACACACGTGAGTCTCTGTTCTGGAGATGACAACAACAATAACAATAATACCAATAAAAATAATAAAAATGATAATAATAAAAATGATAATAATAATAATAATAACAATAATACCAATTACAATAATAATAATAAAAATAATAATAATAATGATAATAATAAAAATGATAATAATAATAATGTCATAGAGGTTTACAATAAGATAGACAGATATGATAACTATGTATACAGTGTGAGTATACGGTATACATAGGCCATGGGAGTATACAGTTTACGTTGAACCGAGACTAAACTAAATCTACTGACAGTAAACTTCACTTAATTGAACTTAACCTAACCTAATTTAACCTAACCTAACCTGGCCTGAGTAAGATTTCTACCAATCTTCCTCTCCTTCCCTCTCATCTCCCACTCACTTCCCCCTCCTCCCCCTCCCCCTCCCCCCCTCTCAGTAACAAGCTTCCTGTCCCTAAAGAAGAACTAAGCCGATTATCTGTAAACCTCCAATCTGGCGCAGAATGATAACACGTGTACTGTACTGACCCTATGGGGGGTGACGGGGAGGAAGAGGAGAGAGGGAGGGAAGGAGGGGGGAGAGAGGGAGGGAGAAGGAGAGAGGGAGGGAAGGAGGGAGGTAGGGAGGGTAGTACAACCTTCAGACACAAAGGAGTAACAGTCTATTCTGTGTTGACATTTTTTCCTTCTTTCCACGTCAGTGTATGTATGTATGTATGTGTGTGTGTATGTATGTATGTATGTATGTATGTATGTATGTATGTATGTGTGTGTATGTATGTATGTGTGTATGTATGTATGTATGTATGTGTGTATGTATGTATGTATGTATGTATGTATGTGTATGTATGTGTATGTATGTATGTATGTATGTATGTGTGTGTGTATGTATGTATGTATGTATGTATGTATGTATGTATGTATGTTTGTATGTATGCAGGTATGTATGTATGTATGTATGTATGTGTGTATGTATGTATGTATGTATGTATGTATGTATGTGTGTATGTTTGTATGTGTGTATGTATGTATGTAAGTATGTATGTAGGTAAGGTAGCAGTGGTCTGTCGTCTGGTCACTGGTTCGAACAGGACTCCTAACCTAACCTAACCCAAACTAACCTAACCATCCTGCCTCTAGTTACCGTAAGTCATTATGGTAATTGGACCATTAGAGAAATGACCGTAATTAACATACTCCTGTAATGACCCTGTGTGAACTGTGACCCTTGAGTAATGATAGTACTGATAGTTAGGGCTTGTGTGTATGATTGTTTAACAGCTGTCTGTCTGTCTGTCTGTCTCTCTGTCTTTACCACCACAATTCACCAACTCTCTCTCTCTCTCTCTCTCTGTCTCTCTCTCTCTCTGTCTCTCTCTCTCTCTCTGTCTCTCTCTCTCTCTCTCTCTCTTTATCTCTCTCCTTAACACCACAATTCTCTTTCTCTCTCTCCGTGACCTCCTTGACCTGAGCTCACCTGGCAGGAGGGACAGGTCAGCACAGGTCATCCCAGGAACAATAGTGACTTCTTATCACCTGACCTGACCACCTGCCTGTTTTTGACCCAGGTAAAGGGTTGGAAACATGTGTACACGGATTTACACACACACACACACACCTCCTCTCACCCTCCTCCCTCCCCTTCCCTCCTCTCACCCTCCCTCCCCTTCCCTCCAACACCCTCCAGCAATACACGTGGTAAGCAAGACCCAGACAGCGGAAGCTCTGACAGAAGATGGAGACCAGGTTGAGGGAGGACTGAAGTATAACGGAATGTGTGTATACGAGAGAGAGAGAGAGAGAGAGAGAGAGAGAGAGAGAGAGAGAGAGATGTGGATAGATATATAGATAGAGAGAGAGAGAGACTCCATCGACCAGTCTATCCCTCACACACACACACACACACACATACAACCCTTATTCACACAAAAACATGAGAGTTAAGGGCAGACAAAAACCAAGTCAACAAAGCCCTTAGGAATATGCAACAGTTAAGGGCTGAGGGCAGGTAACAATAGCCCTTAATTACAGGTAGATTAAAGAAGGTATTGGCGTGAAGTGGTTATTGATAATGGATAAGGGCGATTAGGTCTTCGGTAGCGGGCGTGTAAGGGTCATTTTACAGTGGGTGGAAGCCGTGTGTTAAGGCTGTGTTAAGTGAGGGGGAATAAGCCTTAGGTCGGGGCGTAGAAGGGTCATTTTACCGTGGCTGAAGGGCTGTGGGATGCTGCATTAAGTTAAGTGAAAATAAGCTTTAGATGAGGACGTGGAAGGGTCATTTTACTGTAGTTAGAAGCCGTTGGTTAGGTCAGTTAGGTTATGTAGACAGAAGGCAGGTGGTGGGCGCGGGTCTGGGCGGTCATTTGATCTCTGACAAGCTCACCCGCGCCCACAAGATGCTGTTTCTCTACTGCTGTGACACCTGCCGCCCCCCGCCACACCTCCCTCCCTCCCTCCCTCCCTCCACACCTGCCGCCTTTCACACCTGATTTGAAAGCTTTGGAGACCGCGTGGAGATC